GCAACAAACATAAAAAAGAAGGAGAGGAGATAAGGACGACAGATGTTTGATAGGAAAAAAGGAGCAAACGACACCAGAGCACTCGCCAACCACCCACACAAAGAGATAGAGAGAGACAGAGACAAAAGGAGATAGAGAAAGATTTAAAAAGAGAGATCATAGAAAAGAATAACAGACACAGAGAAAAAGAATGTAAGTCGGGGTGACCCCCTCCTCTAAGCACAAAGCAAACAGAATGCCAACGGGACGATAAAAATAGACAGACCACAGTCGGATGCCTCCCCGACAAGAAAATTAACCACCTCTGTCCTAGTTGCCATTTACGCAGGGAGCGGATGAGAGACGTCAGAGAAGGAAAGCAAAAGGAAAACAAAAGTGGGTACAGTGGAATGGTCGGGTGTCATCGCAGTCTAGACGTCATCATAGTTTATTGTTTTAGTAGTTAGTTTAGTTTTATTAAGAGTTTTACGGCACTTGCGATACAATAAGGTCATATAAGTGCCGAAGATTAGAGGTGTTACAAGAGAGTAACAAACACAAAAAGGAGGAGGAGAGATATGGACGATAGATGTTTGATAAGAAAGAAGAAGCAAACCACACAGGAGCACCCGTCAACCACCCACATTGTTTTAGTGAGAGTTTTACGGAACTTGCGATACAAAATTAGGTCATGTAAGTATCAAACAATAGAGGTGTTACAAGAAAGTAACAAACACAAAAAAGAAGGAGGAGAGATAAGGACGATAGACAGATGTTTGATAGGAAAGAAGAAGCAATCCACACCAGAACAACTGCCAACAACCCACAATCAGAGCGCGTACCAGCAACCCATGAAACAAGTGACGAAAGGAAAGGAAAGACTTGCTGCAAGGAAAATTAAGTTACGTTCATTCCACATGCCCGAACGTGTGGGTGCTCCCCTCTTTTTCCCAATCTTGGTGTCCGTCACTGTTTCTATTCTCTTTTTCAACCATATTTCTCCCCCCCCCCAAAAAAGAAGGAGAGATAGGACGATTCGGGTAGAACTTTGAAAGGGAAGAAGGAGCAAACCACACGAGAGCACCCACTGATCAACCACTGTTATGGAGTTTGTTGAGTTAATGAAGGGCATTGACACAAAAACATTTAGAGTAGGAGCATTTAGTGCTGGGGGAAAACAACACGAAACATCGGCGCAGAAATAACAAAGGGAAATAAAAGAAGTTTGAGCTTCCAGTGGCACATTCCAGCCCCATGTAGTAGTTGTGGTGTGCTGCGACTAATTTATAACGATACTGTTTGTGTAAAGAGGTGCAAGTCGAAACAGCGACGGTGATTTAGGCTGGGGGAAAAATGTAGGAAAAGGGGACAGGAACAGAAAAAAAAACGTGTGTGACATGAGCGAGAGAGAGAG